TACACCATTTGCGTACAAGGAGCCACCATTTTGTCGGGCAGTTTCAGTCAACCATCATTAGGGTGTAATGGTGATACATTTAAACGTTTTATAAAATCGGATAAAATTGTGACCTCTAGTGGGTCCACAAGCTAAAAACGTGATTTTTTAGTACAATCAGTGACTATATAATTCAGGCAGTTACGGTCTGATATGCGCAAATATCAATAGGAACCAAAATCTTTGGATTATAATCAAACAATTCAAGTTTCATCAAAATTGGATAAAGATGGTTTGCCAGGCAATGAAACATACGCCCACACCAGCTAAGTCGTCCAGGTGTCAACAAGGGTTGTCGCATATTTTTTATTTATTTTGTCAGAAATGAAAACATTTACAACACACTAAAATCTGATTACAACTAACAACCCATTTGGCTTCTAGTTCTGTCCTATTCTAACATTTAGCATACAAAACAATTAATATCAATTTCCATAATCATTGGAAATCTTGAAAACTGACAGGCTTCTTCATCTCATGACCTTAAACACTGTGTATAAATTTATAAAGTCAATAGGATATTAACTTTAACCTCTAAAGCGACCACAAGATTTTTCAAAGTGATCAAGGGCCATAACTCTGATAGTAATTATTGGAAATAGGTGAAAATCAATATGCGTCTTCGATGAGCGTATAAAAATTGTGACCTGAAGAGGGTCCACAACCTTGATAATACATACTTTTACACTATTTGCATACTATTTACAAATTTTAAACTCAATCTCCTTCATTGATGTGTAAAGGTGATCAATTTAAACGTTTTTGAAAATTGAATACAAATTGTGACTTAGAGGGTCCACAAGCTAAAAATGCTATTTTTCGAACAATCAGATACCATAATCCAGGAAGTTACGTTCGGATATGCGCGATTATCATAAACATAAATTTAAAGTTTCATCCTTGATATATATTTACACTATTTGCGAACGAGGGGAGGCCATCTTGTCCGTCAGTTTTGGTACGCTAGTCAAGAAATTCAAACTCAACCATCATTATAGTGTAACAGTGATATATTCAAATGTTCTTTTCATTCGGATAAAAATTGTTTTCTCTAGTGGGACCACAAGCTAAAAATGCGATTTTTCATACAATCAAGGGCCATAATTCAGGAATTTAAGATCTGATATGGGCGAATATCAATAGGAACCAAGATCTTTTGGTTATAAACACTTATTTCAAGTTTCATCAAAATAGGACCCAAATTGTGACGTCTAGAGGGTCCATAACTGTCATATACCATATTTTTGCACTATTTGCGTACAAGATGAGGCCATTTTGTCTGGCAGTTTTGGTCCGATTTTTACGAAATTTAAACTCGACCGACATCACGGTGTAACAATGATATATACGAACAGTTTTTTTAAACTGGATAATAATTGTGACCTCTAAAGGGACCACAAGCTAAAAACGCGACTTTTTGTACAATCAGGGGCCATAATTCAGGAAGTTACAATCCGATATGCATGAATATAGAAAGGAACCAAGATCTTTGGGTTATAAACATGCATTTCAAGTTTCATCATAATCAGATAAAAATTGTGACCTCTAGAGTGCTCACAAGCTAAAAACGTGATTTTTAAAAAAATCAGGGGCCATAATCCATGAAGTTATGCTCCGATACATGCCAATATCGAAAGAAACCGAGATCTTTGGTAGACAGACCTATATTTTAAGTTTCGTTAAAATCGGATAAAGAAAGGTTGCCAGGCAACGAAACATACGCCCACAGCAGCTAAATCGTCCGAGCAGTCAACAAGTGTTGTCGCATATTTTTACTTTTGTCGGTAATGAAACATTTATAATACACTAAAATCTGATTAAGAGTAACAACGCTTAGTATACAAAACTTTTAATATCATGGATTCAGCTGTTCAAGTCATAAAAATTTACTTGTTCGTATCAAGATCTTAAACTCTGTGTATCAATCTGAAGTCAATCGGATGATAACTTTAGCCTCTAGAGCGTAACAAGATTTTTCAAAGTGATCAAGGGCCATAACTTTGGTAGTAATTATCGGAAATCTTTGAAAATCAATAGACTTCTTCGTCTCATGACCTTAAACACTGTGTATAAATTTAAAGTCAATCGGATATTAACGTTCGCTTCTAGAGCGTCAACAAGATTTTTCAAAGTTATCAAGGGCCATAACACTGGCAGTAATTATCTGAAATCGCTGAAAATGGATAGGCTTTTTCGTCTCATGACCTTAAACACTGTGTATAAATTTAAAGTCAATTGGATATTAACTTTGGCCTTTAGATCGTCCACAAGATTTTTTGAAGTGATCAAGGGCCATAACTCTGGCAGTAATTATCGAAAATCGCTGAAAATGAATAGACTTCTTCGTCTCATGACCTTAAACACTGTGTATAAATTCAAAGTCAATCGGATATTAACTTTAGCCTCTAGAACGTCCACAAGATTTTTCGAAGTGATCAAGGGCCATAACTCTGGCAGTAATTATATGAAATCGCTGAAAATTAATAGGCTTCTTCGTCTCATGACCTTAAACACTGTGTATAAATTTAAAGTCAATCGGATATTAACTTTGGTCTCTAGAGCGTCCACAAGATTTTTCAAAGTGATCAAGGGCCATAACTCTGGCAGTAATTATCGGAAATCGCTGAAAATCAATAGGCTTCTTTACCTCATGACCTTAAACACTGTGTATACATTTAAAGTCAATTGGATATTAACTTTGGCCTTTAGATCGTCCACAAGATTTTTTGAAGTGATCAAGGGCCATAACTCTGGCAGTAATTATCGAAAATCGCCGAAAATGAATAGACTTCTTCGTCTCATGACCTTAAACACTGTGTATAAATTCAAAAGTCAATCGGATATTAACTTTAGCCTCTAAAACGTCCACAAGATTTTTCAATGTGATCAAGGGCCATAACTCTGGCAGTAATTATATGAAATCGCTGAAAATTAATAGGCTTCTTCGTCTCATGACCTTAAACACTGTGTATAAATTTAAAGTCAATCGGATATTAACTTTGGTCTCTAGAGCATCCACAAGATTTTTCAAAGTGATCAAGGGCCATAACTCTGGCAGTAATTATCGGAAATCGCTGAAAATCAATAGGCTTCTTTACCTCATGACCTTAAACACTGTGTATAAATTTAAAGTCAATTGGATATTAACTTTAGCCTCTAGAGCGTCCACAAGATTTTTTGAAGTGATCAAGGGCCATAACTCTGGCATTAATTATCGAAACTCGCTGAAAATCGATAGGCTTCTTCGTCTCATGTCCTTAAACACTGTATATAAATTTAAAGTCAATCGGATATTAACTTTAGCCTCTAGAGCGTCCACAAGCAATTGTGGACGCCGGACGGCCGGACGGACGGGGGCAACGACAATATACGACCACAAACAAATTGTAAACGAACTGACGGACGTGCGGACAGGGGAAACATCATAATACATCCACGTGACAATATGGACATATAAAGATAGGTTGCCAGGCAACTAAACATACGGCCACAGCAGCTAAATCGTCCGAGCGGTCGACAAGAGTTGTCGTATATTTGTTCTTTTGTAGGTAATTAGGGGGCATTTAATAGACAATTTCATACAGATGACATTATAATTTTCGTCTTTTGAGGGTTCACAAGGTTCTAAAAACTAAAAGAAGGACTGTAACTCTGGAAGTAATCTTCAGAAATTGTTGAAATTCAACAGACTTTTTCGTTTTACTAATTCAAATAATACATATCAATTTCATACAGATCGGATGATAACTTTTGTCGTTCGAACGTTCACAAGGTTCAACAAAGTAAAACAAGGGCCATAACTCTAGAAGTAATTGAAAGAAATTGCTGACATTCAATAGGCTTCTTCATTTCACTAATTCAAATGATGCATATGAATTTCATAAAGATTGGATGATAACTTTTGTCGTTCAAGCGTTCACAAGATTCAACAATGTGAAACAAGGGCCATAACTCTAGATGTAATTAACGGAAATTTGCTGAAACTCAATAGGCTTGTTCGTTTTATTAATTTAAATGATACCTATAAATTTCATACAGATCGGATAATAACTTTTTTCGTTAAAGCATTCACAAGGTACAACAAAGTGAAAAAAGGGCCATTACTGATGCTGTAATTAACGGAAATTGTTGAAATTCAATAAGCATCTTCATTGCACTAATTTAAATGATGCATATCAATTTCAAACAGATCGGTTGATAACTGTTGTCATTAGAGCGTTCAAAAGATTCAACAAAGTGAAACAAGGGCCATAACTCTAGATGTAATTAACGGAAATGTCTGAAATTCAATAAGCTTCTTTGTTTTACTAATTTAAGTGATTCATATAAATTTCATACAGATCGGATAATAACTTTTGTCGTTAGAGCATTCACAAGGTACAACAAAGTGAAACAAGGGCCATAACTCATGGCGTAATTAACAGAAATTGCTGAAATTCAATAGGCTTCTTCGTTTCACTAATTTAAAGGATGAATATCAATTTCAAACAGATCGGATGATAACTGTTGTCATTAGAGCGTTCACAAGATTCAACAAAGTGAAACAAGGGCCATAACTCTAGATATAATTAACGGAAATTGTTTTACTAATTTAAATGATGCATATAAATTTCATACAGATTGGTTGATAACTTTTGTCATTAGAGCGTTCACAAGGTGCAACAAAGTGAAACAAGGGCCATAACTCCAGACGAAATTAACGGAAGTTATTGGAATTAAATAGGCTTCTTCATCTCACTAATGCAAACAACATATATCAATTTCAAAACAATCAGATGATAAATGTAGTCTGTAGAGTGTTCACAAGAAATTGGGGGCGACAGCAATATACGACCACATTTCCATGAGGGCGTATAAAAACCATACAAGTGATACAAATAACCCAATAACATTGCATTCATTTATATTGGCTGATAATCTTTTCTTCATATATGCCCTGTTTGAAATAACCAGTCTAGGAATTCATGAAAACCTTTTATTCTGATTCATGCTACCCGCAACATGTCAATCATTGAAAATTCCTGCAAATTATTTGCCAAAATGGTGCCAATATTCAGTAAATTAGCTTCTTGGTCAGTTCTCTATAAAAATCTGTAAACTTTTTCTTTTTTAAGATTAGCCAATGGCTTACACTTGCAGCCAGTCTTATTGTGGATAGAGTATGGAGGCAAGTGGTGTAAGATAATATCGCTGAAGTAGTATTAAAATACTATATTAAACATGGTTCAGCTCCTACTGTTACACCATGTCCACTACGACCACAAGTCATATTAGTACATTCTGTCCATTCATCTTGATCACAGTTATACGATTCTACTGATGACAAGAAATCACTTCCATCATATCCACCTGCAACAAATATTTCTCTATTATAATACTTTTATAATACAATAATTCTCAGATATTTTTCTTAGGATCATCTTCGTCAATCTTCAGATTTATTCCTCAGCACCGTCTTAATTCTCTTTTTTATTTTGCACCTTTTGTTATCTTGAACAAGCCAACAGTGAGGCTGATGTCCCCCGCCGAAATCCCAAAATAAATAGATGACACATATTAATTAATTGCACGTTTATCTTTTTAAAAAGTATCACACAATCAAACTGATTATCAACTATACACTAAGTTTTATCACTTTCTATCAAATAGAATCAAAGTCAAAGAAATTGCTTTGCTCTGCTTAGCTTTAGCAGAAAATGTTAATCATTGAACTCAGACAAGACATTCACATGAAAATCAACATCAAGTTTAAATACACATTATGCAAAAGCGAAATCTGCCTATTGCAGGTTTTTCTTTAGGCCTGAAATGTTATCTAAATTATTAATTCGACATTAATTAACTTATCCAAACCAAAATTACTCTCAATGTCATCACTAGCCTGCGATGTTTATTGGATTAGGTTCCGATTTGCTGTACGACTTCCATTCATAATTTATTCATGAAATGGATAATCAAGACTGTTTTTTTTATCGTACCAACTTTAGTAATGATGATCGAGGCCAGGCCAAAAATTTAATGGCTATAATCTTGGTTCAGAGGGGATCAATTTGACTGAAATTTTCAGCAAATTCCCTTTATATTATCTAGTTTTTAACTATTCTAGTGAGAACTGCCAGCTCGTTATCTAATCTCCCATAATGTACCATAAGCAGACAATGTTCATCATCGAACTCCATCAAGGCATTCACCTAATCAACGCCTACACCAAGTTTCCGACCCATGGTGATATTATAATATGACATAATATACAATTAGGCATGCTTGTATATTCCATGCCAAAAGAAGCGGTTCACTCCCATTTCGACTACACCCCATTTCGACTACAAATTTTATTACCCTCAAAATCCTGACCCCCAACTAATCAGCCATGGACTGCTTCTCGAGTAAAAGATGTAATTAAGTTAATGATTATTATTAAAATAGCTTATTCATTATATATTATAGCTTGTTTTCTTTAACATCAAAGAAAAAATATCAACTCAGAGTACATTTTTGTTTTGAATATTTGTAATATTTGGAGATTATATTGAGTTTAATACTTGCTTATCTATATAACTTATAAGATAAATTGTTTCAAATTTAATACATTTATTTTTCAAGTTCACTATCATACAGTCAACATTTTTGTCATCTTATTAGAATTACTTTATATCAAATATCAATAACCAACACCGATGAATTTTAATGATTACGTTACCAAATTTCCTGTTTGTTTATGGAACCATTTTGAAATTGTTGGACCCAGCAAAAATAACAACATAGTAGGTTTCCACTCAAAAATGAATAAAACCATACCACACAGTCATCTTAACCTCTATAGATTTATTGACATAATTCGAAATATTGAGAAGTGCAAACGATCTTGTTTTGTTTTATACAATTTCTATGTAAATTAATTTTTCATTCTTTTTTCTGTTTGTTTTAATATAAACTGTTATAATATGCTGTAGCCTAAATGGGATGTTTTATGGAACAATCTATTTTAGTTATGGAGAGGGTATATAAGTAGGGATAATAAAACCACCAGACCATATAATCTGTTGTTATAAGCTGTAGTCGAAATGGGATGTAGGCAAAATGGGAGGGTACCAAAGAAGCCACAGTAAATGGAATTCAACTATCAAAATATTTAATTCTCTTCGGAAAGAATTGTCAGCCATATTTCTTTTTCTTTTTTAAGACAAAACGAAACCTCAAATAATAGGCTTTATATTGATCATTGGCAATTATCAATCAACTATAAACATTAATCGAAGACAAATGATCAGTATAGTATTACTTAAAGATACATTATAGGAGATTTTTACAGAGATTTGGCCATTCTTGCAATAACAGTTCAAAAGTAGATGATGAAAGAAGAATATTTTGAAAATTTCAGTCAAATTACTTTATTCTGAACATAGTTATCATCGTTGTAATATTTGACTAGAAATGGTAGTGAAATGTGCCTTCACCGTGGCTGATCGTTTGATTGACAGGCGTTAACTCCACCTACATATCTCGATTATCAAGTAAAGTTTTCAACGGCATGCGGAAACACTCTACAGCGGCCTCGCTAAGTACACTCTATCATTTAGCCTCAATCTAACTGACGTATTCTCATCAGGATGCGCCATATTTGAATTAATTGATAAGTGAAATCCTATTTAAATCCGAGCTGTAGCAGAGCCATCTGTGGGTCTACAGAGTTGATTTTGGGCTTGTTGTTTAAATAAAGATCTAATTTATAATTTCTATAACATCTGAAGCCTAAATTAAGACTTGCAATAATCAGATTTTGCTCTTGCATAAGGTATGTTTAATGACATGATCCGGATTATCAGCTAGTTACTATAAGTCATTAGTTGATGTATGCCACCTGTTCGCCACGTGGTACTGGTTGTGATTGACATTTAACTTTTACGGTAATGGTCAATCAAGGATATGATTAGAAATTTAAGATTTTTTTACCTCAAGTACGCTAAAATCAAATTTTAATCACCACTTCCATTATTTTTATCGCAAATCGCCACTTTGGCGACCAACAGCCTGGACCCTGATTGCCATGGAGTTATGTAATATTGACTGCGATTGGGTGATTAAGAACGAACAGTCAATGACATTACGGTTTTCACAGAACCAGTAGTGTTACTATTTTAACGCAAAGAAACTTTTTCCAGGCGTATAGAACGAACTTAAAAATAACCATATAAGTTTCAGTCATGTTAATCTGGGACAAATTCGCCACCACGCTACTATGGAGACAAACGGACAGCTATGTCGAGTGCTGTTAAATACCATCTAATTTGTTTTAAAATGAAAGATTCCCCTTTACCAACTTTATTGGAATAGATAAATTAGACAGACACAGAGACATTTTTAGCCAGAATTTATATAGACATTATTCTAGTTGTCGCCGGCGACAAGTAGATTTTATTTCTACTTGTCATTTGAAAATGTTACTTGGATTCCACAAGTAGACAAGCATTATTTCGACCCCTGCTTAGACCACCATTATATTATAATACTGGAAATAGGAAAGAAAATATTATCCACTGCTAATTAAGAAATAAAGTTAGTAATTTAAATAACCACTTATTCTACCATTTCATTAGCGAAAAAAAGGTGTGCCCTAGATATAATTCTCTATAGACAAAGAACAATTCTCCAAAATAATTTAAACCGCCTCAAACAAAATATTACAATTAACCTACCCTTATATGGCAACCCTGACCTTTCAGATGATACCAATTTTAACATATTTAAAGATACATTCCCAGAAAAGTATTATCGGGTGGTTATTTCCAATAACAGTATGGCAATTTTGATATATATATAGAAAGTAGAAATATCCAATCTTACTAGAAAAATACTGGATTCAGTGAAAAACACTCATGGAATGTATACACGACAAAAATGTAAGGGTTCCCCTAATCGACAGCTCGACGAATACGATTAGGAATATCTGCACGCGTGACGTCAAAGGATGCACGCAGAGATTGGGCGCTTGATGTACATGTTGATAAACTTTATGAAGAGTTCGACGTAGAACACTTTCCGAGATAAAAAAAAAATCACGGAAAAAGACACGATATTTGTAATAAATAGTCAGCGATTAAAGACAACATCGTCTTGTATATGCAATGAATTCTCCTCCGACTTAGCACGTGTTTCTAGGTACCGAGAGAGGTAAGTCATGTGACACAAACATAACCTCTTTTGATCGATTTTTTATAGCAGGGGTATTCTTTGGCAATTCCAATGTTTTGAGAAGGATTTGAAGCAAAATTTTGATAGATTAATTAGTTTGAATATGTTTTTTAGTCCAAATATATAATCAAATCACCCAGTTTGTACGCGGGAATGTATCTTTAACATAGTGCAAAAATACATAAAAGATAGCAAGAGATTTTAACGCTTTAACATTTAATATTTTATTAATGCAATAAATTATTATCTTTTAAAAATTTCATAATCTAAAATGAAAATGTAATACCCTACGATTAGATTCCAAGATATGTATATATTTTTGTAACTCACTGTCTATACATATGTCCACTATTGTAAACATAAGATATTACTATTTTATATGTTTGGACAGAGCTTATATAGGCCTTTGCCTATTGTACAATCCAGTTACGTTAATTGAATAAAATATTGTTTAAACTAACTCGGGCAGTAATTATGGGATATTGTTGAAAATCAATATGCTTCTTCATCTCATTACCCTTAACACTGTGGATAAATCTAAAGTCAATCAGATATCAACTTTAGCATCTAGAGCATCCACAAGATTTTTTAAAGTGATCAAGGGCCATAACTCTGGCAGTAATTATCAAAATCGCTGAAAATCAATAGGCGTCTTCGTCTCATGACCTTAAACACTGTATACAAATTTAAAGTCAATCAGATATTTTGAAGTGATCAAGGGCCATAACTCTGGCAGTAATTATTGGAAATTGCTGAAAATCAATAGGCTTCTTCTTCTTATGACCTTAAACACTGTGTATAAATTTAAAGTCAATCGGATATTAACTTTGGCCTCTATAGCGTCCACAAGATTTTTTGAAGTGATCAAGGGCCATAACTCTGGCAGTAATTATCGGAAATCGCTGAAAATCAATAGGATTCTTTGTGTCATGACCTTAAACACTGTGTATAAATTTAAAGTCAATTGGATATTAATTTTAGCCTCTAGAGCGACCACAAGCAATTGTGAACACCGGACGGACGGACTGGGGCAACTTACAATCTGATACATGCCAATATCGAAAGGAACTAAGATCGTTGCAAGATAAACTCATATTTCAAGTTTCGTCAAAATCGGATAAAAATCGTGACTTGTAGAGTGTCCATAAACAAATTGTGGACAGACGTCCAGGGGCGACGACAATAAACATCCATTTTTCTCATGCAGGCTGTTCAAAATGGCTCTAGCTGCTTTAGTGCCTATAAAGCCTCCACAAGCAATTGTGGATGCCAGCCAGTTGTCCAGGGGTGACAACAATATATGACAATATTTCAATAACCAGCGGCTGCCAGGCAGGATACGCCCACATTTTCGAGAGATGGATAGAGAACAAGCTAACAAGAAAGTGATTTTTCCTACAATCAAGGGCCATAATTCAGGAAATTACAATTTGATATGCGCATATATCGAAAGGAACTGAACGAACGGCAGCCATTTTGTCTGTCAATTTTGGGCCGATTTTCACGAAATTCGAACTCAGTCGTCCTCAGGGTGTAACGGTGATATAATAATACGTTTTTTTAAATCGGATAAAAATTATGACCTCTATAGGATCCACAAGCTAAAAACGCAATTTTTCGTACAATCAGGGGCCATAATTCAGGAAGTTACGGTCCGATATGTGCGAATATCGAAAGGAACCAAGATCTTTGGGTTATAAACTTACATTTCAAGTTTCAACAAAATCGGATAAAAATTGTGACCTCTATAGGGTCCACAACCTTGATATAACATATTCTTATGCTATTCCAGAACGAACGGCGGCCATTTTGTCTGTCAATTTTGGGCCGATTTTCACGAAATTCAAACTCAGTCGTCCTTAGGGTGTAACGGTGATATAATAATATGTTTTTTTAAATCGGATAAAAATTATGACCTCTATAGGGTCCACAAGCTAAAAACGTGATTTTTCGTACAATCAGGGGCCATAATTCAGGAAGTTACGGTCCGATGTGCACGAATATCGAAAGGAACCAAGATCTTTGGGTTATAAACTTACCTTTCAAGTTTCAACAAAATCGGATATTCTTACGCTATTTGGGAAAGAATGGCGGCCATTTTGTCTGTCAATTTTGGGCCGATTTTCACGAAATTCGAACTCAGTCATCCTTAGGGTGTAACGGTGATATAACAGAACGATTTTTTAAATCGGATAAAAATTATGACCTCTATAGGGTCCACAAGCTAAAAACGTGATTTTTCATACAATCAGGGGCCATAATTCAGGAAGTTACGGTCCGATGTGCACGAATATCGAAAGGAACCGAGATCTTTGGGTTATAAACTTACTTTTCAAGTTTCAACAAAATCGGATAAAAATTGTGACCCCTATAGGGTCCACAACCTTGATATACCATATTCTTACGCTATTTGGGAACGAATGGCGGCCATTTTGTCTGTCAATTTTGGGCCGATTTTCACGAAATTCGAACTCAGTCATCCTTAGGGTGTAACAGTGATATAACAGAACGATTTTTTAAATCGGATAAAAATTATGAATTCTATAGGGTCCACAAGCTAATTCAGGAAGTTACGGTCCGATATGCGCAAATATTGAAAGGAACTGAGATCTTTGGGTTATAAACTTACATTTCAAGTTTCAACAAAATCGGATAAAAATTGTGACCTCGATAGGGTCCACAAGCTAAAAACGTGATTTTTCGTACAAACAGGGGCCATAATCCATGAAGTTTCGATCCGATACATGCCAATATCGAAAGCAGCCGAGATCTTTTGGGGATAAACCTATATTTCAAGTTTCGTCGAAATCGGATAAGAATTGTGACCTGTAGAGAGTCCATAAACAATTGTGGACGGACGGACAGGGGCGACGGCATAATACGTCCACATGAAAATGTGGGCGTAAAAAAATGTTATATATTACCTAATGCATAAAGTTTATCATTAACAACAGCTACACTGAGTGCACTTCTTGGACTATTCATTGGAGAAACAAATTCCCATGTATTAGTTTCCACACAGTATCTTTCTACTGAACGTAGTTGACTAGTACTATCATATCCTCCTACTACATAGATATAACAATCCATAGTAGCTACACCTATAATAAATATTATCTACATTATATTTTACATACTACATGTACATTACTTAAATACATAAAGGTTTGAAATGCATTTTTAGTATACATGTAAGTATACTATTTAATATCCATTTCATGCATTTAGGTATACATGTAAGCATACTATTTAATATCCATTTCATGCATTTAGGTAATAATAGCAGAGGTAAAGATACTTTACCCTGCAACGAAACATACACCCACAGCAGCCAAGTCGTCTCTGCGGTCAACAAAGCTAACTTAGCTACATGCTAAAATCCAAGTTCCAGAAAATCCATTGTTCTGATAAAGTTTACCTATCAATTTGTTTTAAAGAAATTAATTCATATCTGGGTAAATTTCAGCCTTCCAAACATGCACCCCATTTCACAACATGTCCATTCAAAACCGTTCCCAAAGTATGAGCTATAACCTTGGTCCGGTATGGTTTTCCTTTGTCAGTGATGAAACGGAAAAGCCTGGTCTTGTGTACACATTGGCATACACGTAAAAGAACCCTTGACGATTGCCATTTGAATGGGTGTATAAAAATGGATATAACATTAAGAACTGTTTCAAGAGAGGTTTGTTTGGATCCAAGTAACTACAACCAAGTTTATCTTTAGTCTGAAAGGTATAGATTAGGAAAAAAAAAAATAACAATCATTTCAACAAGCCTATATGACCTGGTGGTATTTAATACAGCCATTCACCCAAGATGGATTATCTAAAGTAAGCTAACAATGGTCAGCTATGACAGGGATAAAAGACAATAGTAGTAATGAGATAATCGATCTATAAACATTACATCAAGTGCTAAATAGTCACCTTAGTAAATGAATGAATGGATGTCACTTAAATATTACCCCTTAACTATAAAATATGTATTATTAATTTTCCCAAGTCAATAGTGAGGCTGATGTCACCTGCCGAAATTCCAAAATAAATAGATGACACATTTTAATTTATCGCACATTTATTTTTTAAAAAGTATCAAGCAATCAAACTGATTATCAACTATATACGAAGTTTCATCACTCTCTATCTAATAGAATCAAAGTTATCTTGTCCTAAAGCATTGGCCAATGAAATTGCTTAGCTCTGTTTAGCTTTAGCTCAAAATGTTAATCATTGAACTCAGTCAAGACATTTACCTAATGAACATCTACATCAAGTTTAAACATTCTACCTCAATTTAAAGCAGAGTTGTTATGTTCCAAAGTCTTGACCAATCAAATTGCTTATCTCTCCTTAGCCTAAGCAGAAAATTCTCATCATCGAACTTAGTCAAGTTAATGATATAATGAATCTATACTCAGAATTTCATCACTCTCACTTAATTTGAACTAAAGTTATCGTGTCCCAAAGCATCAACCAATCAGATTGCTTATCTCTGCTTACCCTAAGCAGAAAAGGCTCATCTTCGAACTCCATCAACACATTGACCTAATAAACACCTACACCAAGTTTGAACATTCTAGCTCAAGTAGAAGGAGAGTTATTGTGTCCCAAAAAGTGTGACCAACAGACAGATGGACAGACAGACGAACACATTTTAATAGTCAAGGTATTGAACTAATAAACACCTACACCAAGTCTGAACATTCTACCACAATTAGAAGGAGAGTTATTGTGGTCTAAAGTCTAGGCCAATCCAATTGCTTATCGCTCTGCTTACCCGGAGCAGAAAATGCTTATTATCGAACTTAGTCAAGGTATTTATGTTATGAAACTATACACCAAATTTCATCACTCTCAGTTAGAACTAAAGTTATCGTGTTCCATCGTGTCTCAAAGCATCAACCAATCAAATTGCTTATCCTAAGCAGAAAATGTTCATCTTCGAACTCCATCAAGACATTGACCTAATAAACACCTACCCCAAGTTTGAACATTCTAGTTCAATTAGAAGGTGAGTTATTGTGTCCCAAAAAGTGTGACAGACAGACGGACGAACCCATTTTAATAGTCCCCTGCTTTCTTCGAAAGGCGGGGGACAAATATATATAATTATTATTGATTGTTTATTGTTACCAAGTAACCTCTAATATATCAGAGGAAAGATTGTAGATTGGGGGGGGGAGTTGGCCACAGGCAGGCAGCAGGACATACCATTACTGACATACTGAAGGGCAGGTCTCTGATAAGTTATTTCTTAGACACTGTTCCTTATTAAGTTTCCTAGCCTGTGGGTCATTATTGTATATATGTTATTACTGTTGAGTATTGTTACAAGAATATACAACTATACCAAGAAGAAGTGAGTTGTCCAATCTTACACCCCTAACTAGACTGAACATACAACCCATCGTCGAATTATCACGTAGAACCTATGATGTAGCAGTTCACGATGTAACTTTCCAAAGTGATGATGAAAACTTCAACAATCAGAGAACTGTGAAGAAAGTACAAGAGATATGTCAGGAAGCCATAAAATAGGATCAGCTGCAGCAGGCACCAACGAATCATCCTGAAATTCAGTTTAAGAGCATGTCAACAGCTGAAATATTGGTAGCAGCAGAATAAGCTTATCTCCAACAAGCACCATTAGAAAGCATACAGAAGAGATGCAGAAGCTTCGGGCAGAGGATGTTTTATTGCAACCCCTGATCAAATTTCTAAAAGATGACATTCTCCAAGAAGATGCCTTATCCTAATTGAACAAGGCATTACCAACTAACAAATGGCATACTGTATAATCTTCATTCACCACGAGGGAAAGGCACCAAAACAAAAAGAGAGGTCAAATAACTATGCATACCTCAAGACTTGAGAGATGATATTTTAAAGACTATCATCACTTCTTAGGTCACCAAGGCCAAGACAGAACACATAAAGCCATGCAATTAAAATACTTTGACGAAAAATGTATTCAGACATGCGAAACCTGTCAAGCGTCAAAACCTTACTACCATAAAAAGCCAGCCATACTTCGTCCACTACCCATTGGCACCACATTTCGCAGAATCCATATGGATACCTTAGGCCCACTAAAGACAACAAAAGAAGGATATCATTCAATTCTATTGATTGTGTGTCCCTATTCAAAATGGGTCGAAGCATTTCCTTTGAAGTCAGCAGAGTCTATAGTGATTGCAAGAATACTTTTTGCATTAATAATATGCCACTATGGGACACCAAAGGAAATTCTGACAGACAGAGGGCATAATGCGGCATGAGAAAGGATGAACTCAACAATATGAGTCCCTTTCATATGTTAATCGGTCGTGAGCCCACACTCCCAATTGATGTTGAATTACTACAACCTAACACACTTAAAAGAGATGCAAAGCAATATTTTGAGTAGATCCAAACAAATCTAAAAACTGCGAATGATATTGCACATAAACACATTCAAAGGGCCAAAGAAAAGTATAGTAAGCAACACAACAAAAGATAGGTTGCCAGGCAACAAAACATACCCCACAGCAGCTAAATCGTCCGAGCAGTCGACAAGCGTTGTTGCATATTTATTCCTTTGTAGGTCATTGGGGGCCTTTACAAGACAGTTCCATACAGATCAGATTATAATTTTTGCCGTTTGAAGTTTCACAAGGTTTTACATACTGAAACAAGGGTCTCAACTTTGGAAGTTGTTTACAGAAATTCATGAAATTTGACAGGCCTTTTTGTTTATTAATTTAAATAATGCACATAAATTTCATACAGATTGGATGATCACTTTTGTCATTCAAACATTCACAGGGTTCAAAAAGTAAAACAAGGGCCATAACTCTAGAAATAATTGACGGAAATTGTTGAAATTCAATATGCCTCTGTTACACAAATTTTAATGATGTATATAAATTCCATACATATTGGATGATAACTTTCATCAAACAAGCATTAACAAATTTTAATGATGTATATAAATTCCATACATATTGGATGATAACTTTCATCAAACAAGCATTAACAAGGTTGAACAAAGTGAAACAAGGGCCATAACTCTAGAAGTAATTATTGTGAATTCAAGTTTCGTCAAAATCAGATAAGAATTGTGACCTGTAGAGTGTCCACAAACAAATTGTGGACGGACGGACAGGGGCTACGACAATATACGTCCACATGAAAATGTGGGCGTATAAAAACCAGCGGCTGCCAAGCAGGATACGCCCACATTTTCGAGAGATGGATTTTTACTAGAATCAAGGGCCATAATTCATGAAGTTACAATTCGATATGCGCAAATATCGAAAGGAACCAAGATCTTTGGGTTATAAACATGCATTTCAAGTATCATCAAAATTGGATTAAAATTGTGACCTCTACAGGGTCCACAACCTTGATATACCATATTTTTACACCTTTCGCGTACAAGCAGCGGCCATTTTGTCCGGCAGTTTTGGTTTGATTTTCAGGAAATTTGAACTCAACCTTTATTATGGTATTACGGTGATATATTCAAACGATTTTTAAAATCAAATAACTGTGACCGTCTGAGGGACCACAAGCTAAACCAGCGGCTGCCAGGCAGGATACGCCCACATTTTCGAGAGATGGATAGAGAACAAGCTAAAAAGAAAGTGATTTTTCCTACAATCAAGGGCCATAATTCAGGAAATTACAATTCGGTATGTGCAAATATCGAAAGGAACCAAGATATTTGTGTTATAAACTTACATTTCAAGTTTCAAAAAAATCAGATAAAAATTGTGACCTCTATAGGGCCCACAAACAAAAAACGTGATTTTTCGTACAAACAGGGGCCATAATCCATGAAGTTTTGATCCGATACATGCCAATATCGAAAGCAGCCGAGATCTTTTGGATATAAACCTATATTTCAAGTTTCGTCAAAATGGGATAAGAATTGTGACCTGTAGAGTGTCCACAAACAAATTGTGGACGGACGGACGTCTGGACGGACAGGGGCGACGGCATAATACGTCCACATGAAAATGTGGGTGTATAAAAAGGCGATTTTTCATATAATCAGGGGCCATAATTCAGGAAGTTACAATCCGATATGCGACAATATCGAAAGAAACCAATATCTT